ATTTACAATAATATATTTAAGAAAACATTTTTCTGAACTACAAAGTTAAATACAATCAGAGATACAAAGTTGATTTTTTACCATGAAACTACATACTTTATAAACAATAAATGAAAAAACTAACAGCATTTTTGTAGAAGAAGTATAATACAGTGCGAGCTAGCCTATCATAGCACCAGTGTCCATGAACCAATAACAAACGTTCCAAGTGTCGAAATCGTGTCACAGCAAAGTCACTAGCCATAACAGCTTGCAAGCCTTCCTGCCCACTAATGCCAACACCAACATCAGCTTTCTGGATCATGCTGACATCATTAGCACCATCACCTTGAAATAACACAAAATACACCTTTGTTTCCAAGTAATTATAACTAGTTTTCTACATCTTGCTAACATTGCCACCATAATTTACAAAAAAAAAATAATTTTGTTTCAAAGTCACATTAGTTATATAAAATATAATGATTTTATTAGTGCTACCTCAGGAAAAAAAAAGGCAAATTATTCTGTGTATCTTTAGCTTTCCAACTCAACCCATGTTAAAACTATTAGCATCACAACATTAAAAAGAAAACTAATTATTCTAGTTCTTGTTAAGTTTATATTAACATCATAACAAAACTTGATGATACAGAATTGGAAGAAAACCATAGTAACTCAATTGCTTAACAAATTTATGATTATTTTCAGTTCACATATTTGTAATCTTTTGTGTTTTTTTAGTACTTTTTTAGTTTGTTTAAGAAACTTTCCTAAACAATATTGCACAAACAATAAGAAAGGAATAGATAATTTCCAAAATCTACACAAACATACATAGAATGTATATGAAATACCAAAACAACACAACACTAAATCGACTCCAACAGTTTCCATATCATTTTTGACCTATAAATTTGGATGAAAAAAAAATGCATTAGTAATCACTAGCCACAAATTATAACTTAATTTTAGATTTCCTTTTAAAATTGAAGAAATTTTACCTAATTGGTTACCATTGTTGAATATAGGTTATATTAGTACACTATATTCAATATATGTGACATATTGAAATATATATATATTTCACAAACTGTTTTGTATCTTATATCCTGTAACTGTGTATCATGAAAACTAAGGAAAGTAAATACATATTCCTAATATTTCTGAATAAGCCCCAATTCCTAATTAAATGGACTATATAGTTGTCTAACAACAACTAAAATCAAAATGGGAAAAATTCTTCTGGAAGTATTTTTTTTTTTTAATGGGCTTCTTATGTCTAGAATTTTTCTAAAAAAACCTTGTAACTTCTGAGGAAGGAAATTTCCCAAAATAAATCATGATCAAAATTGAAATATGTAAAATGCATTCTGAACCACTAGTAAAATTACCTAGCAAGAAAAAGACATAGAAACATTCTTTCAAGAGAAAAATATGCAAAACACTATACTCACCTATTGCCAAAGTCATTACATTAAGTTTTTCTTTGACCAATTTGACTATTGAGGCCTATTAAAGAAAAAAAAAGGTTCCGTAGTTATTATTTTCCTACACTGAAAACATATTTCTGATTGGTACTTACCTCCTTACACACACACAATTATTTTCGTTCAGTATTGCCCTCTATATGTAAAACATTTTTTCACATGCTACAAGCCTTAAACTCCCATTTACCACACAGTTAATGTGGTTCGCAGCATCTTCGCATATAAATCATTTTGCAACAACCCTCCACCTATAGGAGTGCAACACATCCTTCTGGCACATGCAAGTCCCTCTATTTGATTTTACCAAACTATCACTTTGAGATTAGGCAGAAAGGAAACACCAGTTTTAAGTGAAGAGGAAGGTGTGAAGTGTGGGTGAGAAGAGGCAAGTACCTATTAGAAATATATTTTAAATGTAGGAAAATAATAACTTCTGCTATGCTATCTAATCTCTTCTAACATGTATAGCTAGAATCCCAGATTGAATAGGTCAAGGGACCAATGCAAGGGATATAGAGAAGTAACTTTCAAAAGCATCCAAAAAAAACACCCTGGAAGTGTGACCCTCATTGGGAGAGGAACACCCATGAGAGACCATACCACTTCTGTACCAGGTATACTCTTTGCCCAGTGTGAAATGAGGTGTAACAAACACAGGCAAAAAATAGGAGGAGCACATAAAAAAAAACAAAAATAATCCCCAGGTGTAGAATGGCTAGGATGCATCAGACCATACATGGCCAGTCAACTCCATTCCATACCCAAGCTGCATCAGGCATAAACATGTGGTAGGAGGAGGGTCCATGTCATCTTCACCTCAAGTTGCACAGAATGGAAGGATCTATGTACCCAACCAATCTACAAAATAGGGCACGTGTGCAAATCCACAACCACAAACAGTCATCCGGGAACCCAACCTCTGAATGACACTAGGAAGGGATGTGCCAATGTGGCAGTTCACAGTAAATCTAAACCCATTTTACTGGTTCTGCACTGTGGAACATCCATCTCAGTTAGTAAAACTCCTGTAGGCATAGCACCAGAGGGATAACCATCATCCCAAGCAACCTCATCTTCCAGATAGGGCTGCACAGAAGCTGGAGCATAACATCAACCTCCAGGACCCACCACACAGAGATGGAAATTATAAGGCTAAACTACTAGAATGAGATAGGATAAGGAAGCATGACCAACATGTGAGAATTTATGTTGATTGGTCCAGCTCCAATCCAAAACCACCCACCAAGCACCACCATCCAGGTGATGGCAGCACTACGGATCCCAATTGAAAGGGTGAACTGCAACATGACGGATCTACTCAAAAACAACATCCTCCTCCAGATAGGACCACAAAAAAGTTGGAGCATAACATCAATCTTAGGGTGTTGCTGCATGGAAGTGGACTGTCTCTGTAAAAGATACACAACCTCACCCTCTAGATAGAACTTCAGAGAAGCTGGATGCAGCATCAAACTCTGAGACTCAATTCACAGAGGAGGAACATAACTGTGAAATATGCACATCATCATCCCCTGGATAGGACCACACAGAAACTGGAGTGCAATGCCAATCACTGTGTCCCACTGTATGGATTGCTTCTATAAAATATATGCAACTTCACCTTCTGGATAGAACTGCACAGTAGCTGGGTATAACATCAACCATTGGGACTCACCGCATAAAGGTGGTGTGCATGATATGAGGATCGAATGCCATCTACATTGGCATATCACCACCACCCTACTCTCCACTGAAATGAAAGTATCACATTCAGGAGGATTCCTCCATGGCCCACGATCCCAGCAGTTCAGAAATGGAAAGTGGTAAGAACCCTCATACTCCACTAGAAGAACAAGTGGGTGAAAACATGGTGGAGAGTTCAGAGGAATGCAGACACAGGAGACAGTGCAATGGGTAGCTACAAAATCTCCATTTTGAAAAGCAGACTGTCTATGGTTTATTCAGTCAAAGGGACAGCAGAGATAGGCAAATACTGCCTTCTGCTTTACCCATCTAAGTCCATGGGTTAGTACAGTCTGGAACAGGAATATTAAAGAAGCAAATATATAGTGAAGAAAATTTACTAGTGATCTTGTGGAACGCCTTATCACAATAGTGTGCATTGTTGGCCATGAGTATACAGCGAGATTGTTGGGATCAGCCACCACCCAAAGACAATTTTGGTGGGATGTTCCATACAACCTTTGCCAAGCTACCCCATGCAATATCATTCTACACTAAGGCTCAACCCCAAAGAGATGGAGTGACAGGAGTAGCCAGTAATAACCCATGCAATACCAACCCTAGATAGGACTGCACAGAGGTAGGAGTGCAGGCATCACCAGCAGATCGACCCGTGAAATGACAATCTGTAGAATAATCCAATTCAGGACATCGCAACATCAACCCCTGGAACTGATCACAGAGAGGTGGAGTGACAGTCACTAGGGAAGAAATAATATACTCCAATATAACATATTGATAGTCACACAGTGTGGAATTTGATAAATAGGTGGTACACCTGGATATGCAATGCTCGCCACAGAGTGGGATCCTAGATCTAAAAAAAGACATGCCACTGGAAGGTAAAAATAAGAGAGAGAAAATATAACGTACCAAGTCACAGCCACACCGATGTCTGGAGAGGTGAGAGCCATGGAAAAGGTAAGGTGCCTAATTTGATGCAATGACACCTGGAATAGACTGCAGGATGAAGGAGACAGGGAGGAATACACCAGTCTAATAAGTTGAGGAACCCAATTTGTAAGGGTAGAAGGAGAAAGGTCACATACAGGGAAAAGTTGCCTGGGGATGAAAAGGAAGGAATGGGAACCACTGAAAGAGGCTGTGTGAGCAATGTAACAACAAAGAGAACAAAAGGGACATAGAAGCCTATCCGGATCAGACAAGGAATAAAGGTGGGAAATGAAGGGAAGGGAAATCGGTGAGAAAGAAGAATGTCCCTCATAAGCTGCAGAAGTTTTGGGTAGGAAAGATTGATCCGGATAAAGGAGAACATATGTGGAATGAAATAGAGTATGTGAAATGTCAGTGGTAAAGATATCAGACTAACAATTCTCACAGGCTAAACACAGTAGGATATAAGTCATAAGGGATAAGTGATACAGAGAGCATAAGGATAAAGGTTCAAAAGAATAGAGAATAAGGCAGTGACGAACAATACTGACATTCCATTCCGGAAAAACTGCTCAATGAGGAAGTTGATGAATCCCAAAAGAATGCAATAAAATGGAGACAGTAGGAGAGAAAAACACCATACAGTACTTGGAAAAATGGAAGGTGTTGGATAGGGCTGCTCTATTACAAGTTATGGACAAGACCGAAGCCCCACGATTGAACAGCCAGATAAGGAAATCCATAAGAAAAAGAATGGTAAGTCAAGAAGGGGAAAATCCCCAACTCAAAGAGCAACAGCAAAAGACATTCCATTTACGTTGATAGACTGCTAGGGAGGAAGGACAAACAGTTTATGCTAAAAGAGAAGCAACACACACCAACAACACGGATCTCCTCACAAGGGACTGGATAAATGCAAGACATGAAAACAGAGGGTGGAAAGAGCAGGATGAAGAATCGGTGATCAAGGTTGATGGAGGAGAGATGGATTGAGAGGAAGAAGTATTGGAGGTAGTTTGGAGCTGAAGAAGATGAGGAAACCAAAGTTGTGCCAGCCAGTAAGTAGCAATCGGATGGACCTGACACAGAGCAGAATGGATGACTGAAATCACCCTGGGAAGGAGTCGGATGAGAAGGAAAACATAAAGATATGGTTAGTCCAGTCCTGACTGAAAGCATCCTCAGACCCTGGCAGAGGTAATTTGGTGTTGAGGAAAGTGGAAAAAGCATCCAGATAAGGAGTACCCCACCGATTGCAGAGCCTCTGGAAAACCTGAGGGTCAAGGGACCACTTCGTAGGATAAACCCAATTGTTTCAGAAAAGAAGATTGGCCACAAGGTTGAAAGAACCCAGAAAATCACATCATTTAGACGTATCCATAGCATGTGAGCTCAATAAAATAATTAAAATATTTGATCACATAGGAAATGGGAACATGTGCCACCTTCGTGATTGATATAGGTGACTACTGTAGAACCCAATCAATTCAGAAAAGACAATCGGCCCAGAGGTTGAAAGAACCTGGAAAATGATACCATTTATAGGTATCCATAGCATGTGGGCTCAATAAAATAATTCAAATGTTCGACCACAAAAGGAATGGGAACAAGTGCAACCTTGGTGATTGATATAGGTAACAGCTATGGAATTGTCTGAGTGGATCATGACGGGTTAGTTCCATGCAACAGGAAGAAAATGATCCAAAGCACATCGTACTGCCAAAAGCTCCAAGATGTTATGGTAAGACATTTCACTCTGATTGATCCATGCCCTCCAACCACGGAGAGAAGTATGGGTGAACAGATGCAAATCCAGACAGGATTGAGGAGATAAGACCCCCATCATCATATTATCCATGTTCAATTACCAATGAAGATCGTCCTGAGCAAGATTCCATTGGTCGCACAATGTCTACTGAAGAGAACACATATGTGCATGACCCAAGGAGATAAGGGCTTCTATAGAAACCTAAGTCCCCAAATTTGATAGAACCTCGCGTGCAGAAAGAACATGGAGAACTGAAAGTTCCATCGAACAGAGACAAAGTGGAGAAGATTGGGCCTGACTGAGGTACATTTTTTCAAAAATGGACAAGATGTTGGGTAGGCATCAGGAAAGACTTCTCCAACTTCAGAATTCAACCAACATGAGATGCTTCTGTCAATAGCAAATGAGTGTATTAGACTCCAGTCATCCATGTAGTGGTGGAAGCATAACCCTTGAGTATGCACAAGACATGCAAAGGCTTTGACCACCCAACAAATAACATACAGTGCTGAAGCAAGCCTGAAATGGAAGGAAGGAATCTGATACACAACCCTGTAGTGGACAAAATGATGGTAGCGATAGCACTGATGAGCAATAGGAATATGGAGATAAGTGTTCGAGATGTCTACCTTGATCATCTACAGACCTGGAGAAAAAGCCCACCAAAGGATTCCATGGTAAAGTGGGGAAGATCCAGAAACTGGTTGAGACAGGACAGATTGATCACAGGATGCCAGTCCCTGGTTTTCTTGGGGACAACAAAAAACTTGGAGTAACAGCCTGGGGAATGCTGGCTGACAGGCTCGTTAGTTCGCTGTGAACTCTCTCCACAGGTGAACAAAATCAGTCAAATGTGCTCCCACTGGACTGAAAACCACCTGAAAGTTACCAGAACTGCTGGTGATGATGAGATCAACTTCGAGACACATGACAAAACATTGACCACTTAGTGGTAGGAACTGGTAAAGGACAGGAAAGGGGTACAGGAGAAAGTACAGTAGCAGGGTGAGACAAACAAACAACCAAAAAAGAAAGGGTTGAGTGTTGTCTTACAGATTCCACACGACTTTAAAGACTCAGGAATATCTCAAAAAATGGATTGATGGAAAAAAGAAGCCATCCACAGGTCCCAAAGATATGGGGAATGGAAGTGAACCTGGGACAAAAGAGCGTCCCTCCCAAGTAGATCCAAACAGCAAGAAAACCATGTGTAAAGGAACAGGGCTGAGAAGGACAATTTCACCAAAATGTAGGTAATGAGGGAATGAGTGTCCTCCAAAAACCTCTCAAGGGATCAGTGGAGTGACTCTGAAAGTAGATATATGGAAAACAAGTACCAAAGGAGAGCAGTAAGAGTAAGATGAAGTCAGGAAAACTAGGCTTAAGACAAATGGATAGGATTCTCAAGGTCAGCCCCCAACACTGGCAAAAGTGACTCCAGCTGCTGAGAGTTGGGAAAAGGTTGATTGGCCTACTGATAAGCTAAAGCATAATGATTAGAAGCTCATGGAGAATGAGACATGCTAGTTCCAATCCTTCAATGAGAAACAAAATGTCCAGCATGTATCCTAATGTCAGATGAAGGAGAGAAAATAAAGTACTCTAATGATGATGTGTCATGTAACAATGAAGGAACAAGATCATAAGAAACTGGGAAAAAAAAAAAAAAAAAGAAGATAAAATGGCACACACCTGAGAAATTGTATCCAAAAAGCCTGAGGGAGGCCTGGCAAATTCCATAGGAGAGGCTTTGTAAAGTTCAGCATAATAAGATGGATGAAAAAGGCTGTCAAAATCCTCCTCATCGTGAACAAGAGAAACCAAACATTGTTGGGAGAAGAAATTCTACTCCTATAAAGATCAACCTCCCAACAAATAATGGCCAGAAATTCCTCAGCTGAGACCCCCCTAACCCGAAGCCTGTGTAAGGACATTCAAAGTAGTTGGAAGAGGATCAGAAGTCGTAACACAAACTTCGGAATTCATAGTTGATTGAAAAATTCAAGAAGATAAAGAAAAAAAATTAACTAACAAAGGTAAGTTATTATGGAAAAATAAACTACAGAGAACTAACTGTAGCAACATGATAAAAAATGATATAGCATTACATTGCAAAAAAACAGGAAATCAAAGTGTAAAAAGAGCAAAACTGAAAACGTCTGCACTAAACTGCCTAATGAGAAGTGGTAATTTGGTAAAATCGAATAGATGGAGTCACATGTCAGGAGAGTGTGTTGCACTCATATTGTTGCATGCCAATTTACATGCAAAGACACTGTGAACCACATTAATCATTAGGTAAATGGGAGTTCAAGGCTTGTGGCATGTGAAAAGAATTTTGCATATAGAGGGAAACACTGAATGAGAATGGCTATACGTATGACTGGAGGTAAGATACCATATCAAAATTTCATGTTCTGATTATAGCTATATATTAAAATTTCAAAATGTTTCCCACAACGTGATTAAAATTTTTTATATGTAAATTATCAGTAATCATTAGATTTATGATGGTACCAGTGCTTCTATTAGCTTTTGTAATATTTCTATTCACAACAGACTACATTAAAAGTTGTTTTGAGAGATGTGCAAGCTTTAGCAGCACAAGGATTGTAAGAAGGAGTCAACAATAATATTTTTTTTTAGAACTAACAGAAAACATATTGGAAATAAAAACTTTGTCTCAATGAAAACAGGAAGAAAAATCAACATATTTTTAATATTGAAATGAAAGTGTTTTTAAGACAATACTTCGAAACACTGTGGTATTCTGAAGCTTGGAATATAAAACATACAGGCATTTGGTCACTACATTAATGACAGGGTAAAAAATGTAAATGTCTTGTTTCCAGTAAGATTAGAGAAATTAACCTGCATGAAAACTACCATATTTTATTATCACTAATATAAGAAGATACAAATAAAGAAAAAATTCTTGTCAGCAGACAAAAACAATGGACAAAGTTGCAGTGGAGAAGAGGTCAGACTTGACTCTCTAACAATTGTGGTGAATCTCTTCTGCCCTCAACTATTGTTTGTTTGTAGTTAAGCATAAAGCTACACAATGGGCTATCTGTGCTCTGCCCACCACGGGTATCGAAACCCGGATTCTAGCGTTGTAAGTCCACAGACATACCGCTGTGCCACTGGTGGGCCTCAACTATTGTTGGACTATATTTCCCATAGCTTGCTTCTCTTGGTTGGTTAGAATTTATAAATTTTGTTTTGTATAATAATTTAGTTAAAAGTAGGAATACTGTTGTAAAATCATTTTATTAATTCATTTACTTAGCTGTTCACATTTTTTATAGGTTGAATAAGTAAGTAGGTGAATAAATGATTATTTTCTCTGTAACTAATTTCATATATTAAAGTTATTATTATTTGAGATTAACTTCATATTATATGCATACTCCTTGTGTTTTATTTCTATATTTCTATTGGGTTTTATTTCCCCTATCCACAACAAACTTTAGAACTTTTGTGACAGAAGAGAGATTTCTGCTAACCCTATAGTTAGGGTATGTCCATTTGGCACATGCTCGTATGGCGAATGATTTACGATAACTCTGAGCTTTCTTAACATATTTTCATAAAATGGGTAAAATTTGTTAAAGATTACAAATATTTTGTAAACAAAGAATATTATTTTAAATAAATATTTCCAATAAATTTATTTATTTATTGCAATTATTTGCACTCAGACTCTGAAGAGTTTGAGTGCAAGGTGATTTTCAAGGTAAGCATAAAAATACTTTTTTTCCATCTTATAATTTTCAAGTTTCCTTGGTACCTCCTAAATGTATATCAAAAGTTTTTAAAGGTAAATAATTTGTTATTTTTCACTTTCTCAACCATATTACTGACTGTAGCTATTATCATCAATATACAGTACAATGAAATGCATAAAATTAAGACATGAAAAATATAGATACCTTTTAACTCTTCATCAAATAATCTTAAAATATATTCTTCTGATTATAATCTTAATTGCATGTCTTTAAATTTTCACATATACTATATTTTTAATGTTTTACTTTCCTTTCCTGTCCTTTGACATTATTATCATTATCTATTACGACACACAACAATGGGCATCCCTGGCTAACATCAGTATTATTATCTATTATGACACACAACAACAGGCATCTCTGGCTAACATCAGCAGAGACACTTTACCTTCAGCAGAATATTGTTGTGCTATCTTACTACACTAACCCTCATGAACCAAGGAGGAGTTGAGGTATACTAAAAATTATTAAACCTTTCAAATATGCATCTTAAAACATAAATAACATAATAAATTAAAATCAATTTAGCTGTCTATCTATCTAAGTGCTCGCGAGGATAAAAACAAAAACAATGTTAAAAGCGGTTTGTCTAGTTCTCTATGGAATTGTTTGCACCAATTTTAAAATAACTGTTGGGTGATTGTATTTTAAAATTCACTCTTTCTATTAGTTATAAACATCTAGCTCAAATAAGTATTAAAAAGTAAAAGGAAAAGTAAAAGTGCATTCAGGACCAGCACGAGGACAAAATGTGTGGGATGGACTGTGGGTAAGTTTCACAACTTCAAGGTATTACATGACCATGATGCTATACCAGGATGGACTGTGGGTAAGTTTCACAGCTTCAAGGTATTACATGACCATGATGCTATACCAAGATGGACTGTGGGTAAGTTTCACAACTTTCAAGGTATTACATGACCATGATGCTATACCAGGATGGACTGTGGGTAAGTTTCACAGCTTCAAGGTATTACATGACCATGATGCTATACCAGGATGGACTGTGGG